GGATGGATGGATGGATGGATGGATGGATGGATGGATGGATGGATGGATGGATGGATGGATGGAAGCTCGAGTCGACTACTTATTCGTCCTCTAGACGTTCGGACACCTATTAAAATGGCGTGGACAATGTATAGTGATTAGGGCGGACTTTTGGACACAGCCTCAGTTTTGGACTATATAGCAGGTGGGACAGACTGGTGCAAAAACAATCAATGAATCATTAAAGTAGAAAACGTTACCCATGATAGAAGTTCAGGAGGACAGAAAATGGATCAAGTAGTGATCCTCTTTGAGCCTCTCAAAAACCAAATTAACGAGGGGCAGACAGAGCAGGTAAGCGCGACGTATCTGTCTCACCTCTTTATTAGAAAAAAAGAAATAAAACTTGGAAAAACTTCCCAGATCTCTCTGTGAGAATCACCTCTCTGCCTCAGTCAGCATAGAAACCATCCCACTGTGTTTATTGCTGTGTTTTTCTGTTCTTTAGACGTAGATCTCATTATGAACATTCTATCTGTTCTGGGTTGAGATGCTGCACAGACTCCTTAAGTGGGGCTTTGCTTTATAAAATGCCCTGCTGATTTTGTAATTTTTTTAATAACTTTTCATAAAGTGTCCAAGTCAAATGTGGGAAAATTGTTTTAATGTGTAAAGCAGAGAGACAGAAGGGAAAACAATCTGCAAAGATCTGCTCACCCTGCCTATTTGGAGCCTCTTTATACGAGCCAGTGTGACACACTGGCTCGTAGGTAACGGGTGTTTTCAGGCCTTAAGTCAGTCTCCTTGTAGCTTTGAGCATGAAAACCTGACTAGAAGCATCAAAGCAGCTGGACCTTGATAGGACGATAAAAACCTTGTTTTAGGCCCAAGCTGGGAAGTCCACTTGGTAGTGGGTGATAATAACCTCTGCTGTGCTTTTCCTTCCAGCTAAACCCAGCCGAGCGAGGAGATTCAGTCTTCTTCTCCTGTCACGCCATCAACTCCTATGGAGAGGGCCGAGGACTCATCCAGCTCACCGTTCAAGGTTTGATTTAAACTTTGAAGGAACCCATTTCCAGGAAGGGATATAAAAGCATTGATTCTGCCTGAAAATGAATTATTAACCTTTTACACGTTGTATTAAATTATGCTTATTATTTTTAGGGAGAGAAAAACATACCATTACTCATAGATCCTGCTGTAATTACTATTCCAGTCTTACTGATTTGCACAAGAAACACTTTTTTTTCTCCCCCTAACTCAGAACCCCCTGATCCTCCTGAGCTGGAGGTGAGGGAAGTGAAGGACAGAAGCATGAACCTGCGTTGGATCCAAAGGTTTGATGGCAACAGCATCATCACCAGCTATGACATTGAGTACAAGAACAAATCAGGTAAAAGAGCTCAGATATATTCCTTTAAGTGTTTATTTATGTACTGGGTTTTAAAAACAGACCAAATTCTGTTCCTTTCCCACAGACTCTTGGGATCACATGTACACCACCAGGAACATTTCACCTACAAACAATCAAGCTAATATCGTGGAGCTGCATCCAGCTTGTGTTTACAGCATCCGCATGTATTCTTATAACAAAATCGGCCGCAGCCTTCCCAGCAAAGAGCTAACTATCAGCACAGAGGAAGCGCGTAGGTTATGTTTTTTTTTTCCCCGTGTTTTCTGCACCTTATTTGCATTTGGTTCCGATTTTTCATTCTGACAATAAATCCTGATCAAACAGCACCTGATGGGCCCCCGATGGATGTTGTACTGCAGCCAATGACGTCACAGAGCATACGAGTCACATGGAGGGTAATAAATCATGCCTCTATTTTTTTTTCTCTGAATATATGTAAGAAAATCATTTAAATAACAGCTCTGTCTACGTTGCAGTTTGTAAAACTCAAGAAAGATTGAAAAGATTTTTCAAAGTGCTGAAGAAAAGAGATGTTGAAAGGTCTTAGAGTGGGAAATATACTAGCTCAACAATTAACAGTTTCTTTTGTTGTTAATACAAAGGAAGTGGAGGTTTTAAAGAAAAGATGTTTTGGAGAGATAAAGAAATTAAAAATCTTACGCCTCTTTTGATGACAACTTTGAGTTCAGTTTTTAAGGCCACGCTGGCCGAAACATTACTATATTTTCTGTGCGCTTTGATTTCTTCTATTTACTGCATAAAGCTACAGCAGGCATGTCAAATCAAACAATGCTCAGGAGAATAGTTTATACTGCAATGAATCGAAATCTGAATAAGTCATTTTCTTTTGAATTGATGAGGTAAGTGAGACACTTTGCCAATAGAACAAAACTATTTCATTTAAATTAAGAATAAACAATTGCATTGTCTTATTTCAAGCATAAAGATTTCAGAATAAAAATTCTCATTCTATTGGCAATTCCTCTTATTTACCTGTTCAAAATAAGGGTAAGCAACCTTAATTTAAGGCATTTTTACTTGTTTCTAGATCATTTTAGCAGTGTATGTTCCCAATCATTGTTTGATAGTCTATAAAATAATACATTAGGAATGATATAACAGAAAAGAGCATAGGTCAAAATGGCTGCTTATATATATATATATATATATATATATATATATATATATATATATATATATATATATATATATATATATATATACTGACTTTTATAAAATGGCTGTTAAAATGGCTGCTCCAAGTCATAGACCTAAAAGCTGAACATTAACAGCAAAACCCAAACACTGCTTAACTCTGCGATTGTCTCCATGCTTCATGTCTTCCTTCTTTCAAAAATATCCAGGCTCCTAAAAAGGAGCTGCAGAACGGCGTGATCCGAGGCTATCAGATCGGTTACAGGGAGAACGGACCAGGCAGCAACGGGCAGTACAGCATCGTGGAGATGAAAGCAACGGGGGACAGCGAGGTGTACACCTTGGACAACCTGAAGAAGTTTGCTCAGTACGGCGTGGTCGTCCAGGCTTTTAACAGAGCCGGAACCGGACCGTCCAGCACCGAGATCAACGCCACCACGCTGGAAGATGGTATGAGCATAAGATAGCAGAATGATGAACAAGAGGTTTGAATAAAAATGGGCCCAGGAGGATGTCATTTTTAGAAATACATCATTTCACATTTTTATCGTCTGCCTGAAAGGCCTGCAGCCACCCATGAGCTAAAAGATGTTGGAATAGTGTCTTCCTAAAGATTTTATTCCCCACGTATCCTCTCAGCTGCATTTCATCGTCTCCTGTTTAAAGATTTTATGATTAATATCTCTCTCAACACTTCTCCTTCTTTCCATCAATGCCTATTATCTTTAAAAAATATGAGGAGAAATTCTGGGCCAGATTGAACATGTTTGACCTGTTTCTTTTAGCTGCTGTTGCTGATGTGTAGTTTTGAGGGTTTTCATCTGCTTTTCCTGATCTTCTGCGACTGGGTCGGTTTTAAACCTGTCGTTCTGTCCTGCAGTGCCCAGCGAGCCCCCGCAGAATGTGAGAGCAATCTCTGTGACGTCAGACGAGGCGGTGATCACGTGGTCGGAGCCGCCACGCATGACGCTGCACGGCGTGCTGAAAGGCTACAGGGTTGTGTTTTGGTCCCTCTTCCCGGACGGAGGTGGGTGCTGTGGGGTCCGGGCCCAGTGGCCGATGCAGAGTAATTATCACCTATCTCATTCTAAGATTTTCCCCCAACCAGCCTCATCATCACATCCATCTGTGTCACCGCTGTTTGCTCTCACCTTCCTCATCAAACATTTGGTGTTTGTTCCTGTTTGTTGTCGGTGCCTTGCAAAAGAGTAAACATATTTTGCTGCAGCATTAAACCTCTATGTAATTCTTTGGGATTTTTTTTTTTCCAGATAAATAATTATGAAGTGGAAGAAAAAAAGAATACATGGGATACAACCTTTTTAATAGATACAAATCTGGGAGGTTTATGTGCATTTTAATTAAATTGCAATAATAATGTTTGCTAAAATAAAATCTAGAGCAGCAGATGCCTGCAGATGTTTTACGATTAGTAGATGTATACGGAGCTAAATTAGAGCCATTAATTTTGTAAAAAAAAAAAAAAAAAAAGTTTTATTCTGTGAGAAGGTGGGGCTTAGATGGCGAGCTAGAAATATGTTTAAAGCATAATTGATGTTCTTTTTATGTGACTGGTTTAAAAATGTAACATCCTTCAGTGATCTAAGCTGTTTATGACAAACAAATCTCATCAGAGGAATTATGATACTGATTAATTTTCTGTCTCTGTTGTACATTTCCCAATCTCTTAAGGAACCGTCAGCTGCAAGGTTCTGACATTACCACAAACTAAGATCAGTGAGGGTGGTTATTTTTCCAAAAGCAATCATATAAACAAAGATAGCGATGATTCTTTAAAGGCATTTCTAGTTCCAAGGGTTCCTGAATGAAACCAGTGGGAATGATTTCTCTGCGGCCCTTAGTCACGCCTCCATCGCCAAAGAGCCAGAAGTTGACGCTTTTTCTTTCTTCATTTTCCAAATATTTTTTTTTTTTCATTTTTCAATTGAAAACATATATTTCAACCAGATTTTTGCTCTCAATAGAATCACTGTGAGTGGTTTATTATCAGAAAATAAAATACAGTATAATAGAGCTGTAATTCCATGGATGGCTGAGGCCCTGGTTAGTAAACAGACCAGTAGAATGGAACAAAGTACATTTACTTGATTACTGTACTTAAGTACTTTTTTGAGTATATTTGCTTTACTTAAGTAATAATTTTTTTTTTCCAAGGTTGTTCATGCGACAGAGCCCAAGCATACCAGAGCATTCGCCCAATGTTATGACATTTCAAAGTCAAATATTGTTTCTGCTCCAATACAGTTGGTGAAGCTGCTAGTCCTTTGTTACTTTTGGCTCAGCTATGCTTTGTAATCCTGTGTTGCTGTTTTTCCTACTTTAAATGTAATTTCATCATGGAAGATGGCTGCCCTTAGGACTGAATCTGGACGCCACTGTTTTAGAGATTGAATTATGTTCCACAGATATGAAAAAATCAGAGCAGATATTATTAGTAGGTTATACATTTTATTAAGTTGTTTTTTGTTCAGTGATAAATGAATAAAATAAATTGAACTTTATTGATCTCACAATGAAGAAATTGATTCTGCAATTAACCCATCCCCTTTGGGGAGCAGTGGGCAGACACTGTGCAGCACCCAGGGAGGAATTGGGGGTTAAGGGTCTTGCTCAGAGACCCAGAGTGGCAGTTGTGGGTGTGGGTTTCAAACTCACAAAGTCAGTATTCTAAGCCCTATGCCCTAACCACTAGGCCATCCACTTCCAGTAGCATGAGTCCCAAAGCAGAGTCGCATTTATTTGTTGTAATAGATTCAACCTTAAACCTCCTCACACTACATAGTGAAAGTGAGGAGAATCAAGACTCTCCTGTTTTCATTTTGGTCCTTATATTTATGTGTCATTTTTCTGTTGAAGTTCTTCCTAGGTGGTGTAGAATCTATTGCAGGTAGTTCTACGCATCAATGCATCAGGTGATCTCTGAAAGTTACAGATTCTTTAAAATTACTCTGAAAATTAGGCAGAAATGTTCTGATATTAGAAAATAAAATGAGTAACTTTTAATACTTAATTTCTTTAAAATGCATGTACTTTGAACAATTAGGTAAGTACTTCAATACTTTAACTCGAGTAACTTTTAATTGTAGTTGAGTAAGATTTGATACTTGATACTCAAGTACTACTGTTGAGTACATCATCCACCACTGACTCAGCCTCTTTGCTGCAGGCCTTCATGAAAGGAGAATCAGTGGAAAATGTTGATTCATTGCATCCAATATCGACAATAAAATCTTTATCCATAACATCATCAGCACATGGTTTCCTGCTACTTAGTATGAATCCTTTTGCAAGGCACTATGTACGTTTGTGCAGCATTAGGCATATATTACAGTATGTTTTTTTTTCTCTGTATATGATAAGTCATCTAGATCAACCGTTATTTCCTAAATAAATGCACAAATTTATCAAGGATTATTAAACATTTTACTTTCATCTTAGCTTTTAAAGGAAATTCTGCTGTATTTTCCATCTTTCCTAAGCTCATAGTCATGAGTCACCTTCCTGCTGAGACGTATTCAAACCATAAATGTAGAGTTAGATGATTTGATCTTGTATAAACACATTCTTCCCGTCGTGTTTCGCCTCAGAATGGGGAGAGATGCAGAACATCACCACCACACGGGAACAAGTGGAGCTCCGCGGGCTTGAGAAGTTCACTAACTACAGCGTTCAGGTCCTGGCCTACACGCAGGCCGGAGATGGAGTCCGCAGCAACGTGCTGTACATCCAGACACGCGAGGACCGTGAGTAAACCCTTAATCAGGTTTAAACATTTTATTTAATCTCCGGAGAAAATGCTGACCGTGTGACGAGATGCATTGAATGGGAGGCAGATAAGTTGCATCTCCAGGCCGTGACAAAAGCCCACTCGTGTTGGGAAGCTCCATTAGCGGTGCTAATGAGAATTAAGAGGCTTTGGGTCCACAGCTCGGGGCTGGGGGATGGCTGGGGGATGGCTGGGGAGCAGGAGGAACATATAGCATCGAGGAGTCAGCCATCAGCTCCAGCCTGCATCCTCTCCTGCCACAGGCGCAAGGATTAACTCTGCATGGATTAAAGAGAATTAATTTTGTGCTTACACCATTGGAGGCGGGATTACAGTCAGATCCATGTCTCTTTATAAAAAAGGAGGAGGGGCAGGGTGGATTGAAGATGCAGAGATAGAACAGTGAGCACTTACTCTTTTCTTGACTGAGAGAGGGAAAAAAACGCATGGAGGGGTTGGACCCAAAAGTAGAGATAAGGGCAAATAATATAGATCTCTGTTTTTTTGCCCATTTTTCCCTTGTGGGACAATAAGGGGATTTTCTATTCTATTTGCATTTGTCTGGGTGTGACCCATCCTCCTCCGATTAGCACTCTAGCGCACAATGTGTCCGTGATGATGCTGTTAAAGCAGCACCAGTGCACCTCTCCTCCTCATCATCATTTATTGGTTGCTCTAGCCGTGCGTGGCAGACAGTCTGCCGGTCTGTCTCGAGTCTGGGGCAGATTTTGGGCACCAGATGGGACTTATCCTCCCCTCTCTCTCTTTCTGCCACTCCTACTTCGACGTGGTGGTCCAGTTATGATAATAATTGCTGCCTCCTCTGCTCCACCTTTGCAGCAACACTGGAGACACACCAACCATTCTCCCCTGGATCCTATCCTCACCTCCCTCTTTTCAGACATCCCTTGCTAGGTTAACACTTTCTAAGTTAATGTTTTCATGCTGAATAATGTTGTGTAGGGTTGAGGAGTCAAAGAGGTATAAGCTGAGTAAATGGCTAGATCATGGGGCCTCTTGGATGACAAAAAGAAGAACTGGAGGATGGATTTATGGGGCTGGGTCTCCTTCTATAAGCCCCAGAGGAGCCCCACTGTCAGGCTTGAATTATATTTATGGAGCCGACTGAATAGGCTTGATAGGTAGCACCATATACAGTAGGATCAATGAGAAAAAGCTTCTTTTGTTCTCCTCCTTAAAGCATCCAGTGTCCTGATGTGTTTTTGTAAAGTATGACTCCTTCTCTAAGCGCCTCCTTGAATCATTATCTTGTAATCAGAGCGTTAAGCCGTGTCCAGTGTCAAGCTGAAGTGGCTAACGGCGGATCAGACACTAATGTCTAATCTGTTTGTGAGTGAGAGAGTTAAGAGAACGCTGGGTGTCAAAGAGTCAGAATTGCTGACCAGTGTCTGAAGGAACATATGTCACTGCTGTCCAGCCAAAGGGAGTTCTCCCGGAGAGGCTTAGTGCGCAGTAAGACGGCCGATATGCAAACAAGCCTCCTTGCTTTAACAACCATCCCAGCAAATGGACACACACAGAGCAGGACTGAATAATAAGCAAAGCAGGCCTCTATTTACTGGGCCCCCAGGCTGTGGGAGGTTTTCTGAAAAGAGAAAAACTGGAGACTGTTTTAAATGTTCATTCATTTGAGATTTAAAAAAGAATAATATTTATTTATTCAACTTAAAATCTTCATAGTCTCATGATGTTAGCTGTGATTTAATGCAAAAATTCAGGTTTGACCATTTTTATACCTAAGAGATCACATTTTATCCACCCTGTAATGCTGGAGATTTTTTTCTTGTTGTGCTAATAAAACATTTTTTATAATTTAACTAATCAGATTTCTTTAACAGTTGGCACAGATTTTATGATTTGTTGTTAAAATTAAGAAATTATGTAAAATTATGCTTGCTACATCATATCCCTTCAGTTGTATGAAGATACATCCTTACTAATCAGTTTTTTCTTCATGTTAAAAAAGTAACATGAGCAATGATAAAAAAATATATATTTTTTATTAATATATATATATATATATATATATATATATATATATATATATATGTAACCCAAACAGATAAAAAAGCAGATTTTTAAGACCAGGAATACCAGTTGCTAACAACTGCTGAAGGTTCAAAAGCTTTCCATGCTAGGTTTGAATGTAGCATTAGCACCAACTACCATTTTTAGCATAATAACAAATGTTACAGAAATAGTATTCTATGCTTACATGGTTGCATGTTGGCAACAGCTGCTTAAACTGTCAAATTTAACTTTAATTTAACTGTCCCTAAACAGAAAAATGTGGTACAAATAGCTTGCAGCATGTAGCATTTTTTCAAATTTGAGCTACTGGAAAGTAGTTATAACAGCATTAGGGCTATCTCTAAATTATCTCACTCCTAAAAAAACTTAAAAATCTTTGCTAACATGGTGGCTTAGTAATATTTTAGCCTTAGCTAATATTTTAACTAATACTGTAGCTATTTCTTACAGCTGTACCAGCCTAACACGTTAAACTTTAGCATTAGCACTCATGCTAAACTGGCTTACACTGTAAACATATATTTTTATGTTATGCTCACATTAAATGTCTTTTAGCATCAAAATCGTGAAGTTGGATGCTTGTGGACTTTGAAGTCCAGAGGTATTAAAGTATTAATGTTTATTACTCCAGTAGAAGTATAAATCCTACTGTTTCAAAATACTTTTGTAGAAGTTAGAGCATCAACTTAGCTTTTTAATTCAGTAAAGGTGTAAAAGTACCATTTTTAAAACTACTTAAAGTTTAAAATGAAATCTAATGCTTTTAACTATTAAACCTTTTAGAGGGACATTTTTCTATAGTTCTGGATGAGAATTCCTTAGACTTCATTTTCTTATTTTTATAACTAATGGTAACAGTGTCAAATTTAACTTTGCATCATCATGAAAAACTATGTATTTCTGTGTGTGTTGAACAACAGGTTGGGGCAGCACTGAGTCCAACCACAAAGAAATTAACTGCCTGGATGAAACAAATTATTTTAATGGTTTTTATTTTGTTTTAAATACCAGCAGGTCATAACGAAAATTAGCTTAAATGGAGAAAAAAAAATTATTTTATTTAAAAAAAAGTAAATAATAGAAAGTAGAGATAATTGCAAAAAAATGTAAAGATTAGAAATAAAATTATTACTAAAAAATAATTAGTCCAATAAAGTATAGATAGGCAACATTTCTACTTATGTAAGGAAACCAAGTATTTGTACTTTGTTACTTGACGCCTCTGATAAAGTCAGACGCACATCTAGAGCTTTGTGGATGGTCGGCGCTCCTTCAATGGCCTTTAGCTGATCTGTCCTTTTACTTTCCCGTCTTTTGCACAGTGGCAGATTAATTCTAGAGAGCACACTTGGCTTTATTTGTTTTGATGGGTGGAAAAAAAAAGCAGTTTTAACACGTTTCTAAGCAAGACAATAAACCTCAAACCTTCATCTCCATAGTCAGTTCATCAGGATTATGATCCTAGTTTTGTATATTTCAAGGTTGTTCAAAGCGACAGAGCCCCAGCATACCAGAGCATTCGCCCAATGTTATGTCAAGTAGAAGCTTTCTGAAGCCGTTCTGTCTGAGATTTCCTGCTGCCTGAAAATAAAGCTTTTTTGTCTGCACCAAAAACTGAAAGTACCAGAATATAAACAAATATTTTTTGCCTGCAGGTTTGAGATGTTTGGTTAATGTTGGCCTTATAAACTCTTTCAACACGAAAGAAAATATTTTTGTAGAGTAATAGTGATCATTTTATTTATCCTTGTACATAAAAGATAGATTTTTGTGGCTATTTGTATAAAAGCAGTGTAGTTCAACCCCTTTGTATATTTTTGAATTCCTCATACTTTCATGCTGACAGCTTTGCAGGAGGAGAGATCACTGCTTGGATGTTGTGTCTTTCCCTGTAGATTGATTTAATCTGCATCAAGCTGCAAATGTTAAGATTTCCCAAATACAGCGTCTGCCCCTTTGAATGCTCCACACTTGAACTCTCAAAATGTGCAGGCAAAAAGTCGCTGTTCCCAACACTTAACCTGGGCCACGGGGGCGCGGCAGTGGTGCAAGGGCAAAGTGAGCGACCCATGTACAGTGGATTTGGTTCTTTGGTCGCCATAAATAATGTAATTATGGTGCTAAAAGTATTTATTTTTATCCTTAAATCACAAAAAAATGCTCAACATCTTTAAAAACATTTTAATCACTTTTCTGAGACAATGTGATGCTTTTGATATTTTCTCATCATGGGACATGCTTAGAGTAGTCCGGCAAAATAAGTTAAACCATGTTTATCTGCATTTTAGTTTTTTCTATTCTTTAGATTACACACTTTGTACCATTTTTTGAATACAAAATATGAAAGGAAAAATACAACTCATAAAGACTAGATTTATGTTTAAATCCAAAGTAGCATAGGATCCCATGTCCAGTACAGATGGGCACAGACGAGTCATAAAACAGAAAGGATTTTAAAGCATTTAAATTCTCTGGAAATAAATTATTAACCTTTTACATGTTATAGTTTAGTACGCTTTCTGTTTTTAGGGAGGGGAACATGTAAGTTGGGTCTTTTTTACAAAGTAAAGTCAAAGGCAAGCCGGATGTATTTCTGGTTGCAAATGAGCTGATGATACGGATCACGCAGTGATAATCCTACTTTAACATTTGAAAGTTGGTTTATGTATTAGTTGGTATATCAGCAATTCATTATTCACAACAATAAACTACATTCAAAGAGGGCTAATACAGAATTCACGCTATTTAAGAATTATTTCTTAAGTTTTATGGAGTTAGTCAGAAGAAGAAATAGTTGTTTCAAACACTGTCAGGGATAGAAGATACCATTCTTCTGCAGTCACTAAATGACCAACATCTATTCAAAACACCCACTAAAATCACCGGTGCAGATCTTTGAATTCAGTCTGTCCGTGAAGCCTGTCCACACGCTCTGTTGTGGCTTCTGATACCTTGTAAATCTGATCCTCCACTTCCTTTAAAACAGCCCCAATATAAAAGTATATGCTTAGATTTCTTAGTAAGGGTCTAATGAAAATCTGGTTCGTCTTCAGTGATTTATTTGGAAAATCTACAGTAGATGTTCTCATTTATCATTTCCCTGTTGGTTTATTGCGATCAGCATAGATCTGTCCGTATTCAGAGCCCCTCAGTGCTCATTGGTCCCTGCCTGGACACGTCTATGAACATATGAACAACAACTGCGTCCACTGGCATTAAGTTAATATACTCGTTCAGGAAATAAAAATCTATAAACGGATCAGCCTTAGTGTACTGAACACTATTAAAACTAAACCAACATCAGTTATATTGCAATAAAACACAACAAGTAGAATTGGTTAAAGAAACATATGATAAAGTGATGGGTAAAAGTTCTCAAATTAAACCTTTATTCAACTTTTAGTTTAGAAATCAAATTATTACATTTTTTAATTAATACGCTCTAAAATCACTGTTTATAAGGTATTTCTTTAATCAAATATGGCCCCTTTTTCCTGAATACCATATTTAATTATCCTCTGCAACCTATTAACAGCATCAGGTGAATCACATTGTGTTTTGTGGATTTAAAAATCTTTGCTAGCTCAGAAATAATCAAGACTTTTTAATTCATGAGATGTTTGTGATGTTTTTGGGGACTAGTGGGGAATCGGTGGTACCCAAATGAATTGATGCAGACATGAATTTGCCTTCCAGTGTTTGGTAACACGGATCTGCTTTTTCCTGCAGTTCCCGGTCCGCCAGCCGGCATCAAGGCGGTTCCTTCCTCTCCAAGCAGCGTGGTCGTGTCTTGGTTACCGCCTCTCAAACCAAACGGCGTTATCCGCAAATACACCATTTACTGCTCCAGTCCAGGATCTGGGCAGCCGGTGAGTCCTTCATCTATGGGGGTCAATTAAAACAAGAAAAAATGTTTCCGTTGCTTGTAAAACCCAGTTGATAAAATCAGCCAAAGGAAATGATTCATTTGTCACCACTATAATTAATTGAACCTGTATGTGTGTGTGTGTGTCTTTGCGCATGTCTCTCTTTCACTGTGTTTGCACCATTGCTTTATTTCCTGCCCTCCCAGATGAACAGATGAGGTTGTCTTGGCAACGTGATGAGACGTAGATATGCAAATGAGGCTGAGAACAAGCTCACACATGCAGACTGCCGCATCAGAAACACACACACGTCACATTTCAACATTTTCTATTTATACACGTATTGGTGAAGCGTTTTCAATTTGGGTTAGATTATGTGCACATAAACTGCAAAGCATGCAGCAAAGTCTGCTATAAGGAATGCTTCTCACTTCCTTATTATTCGCAAATATTCCTCCCTCCTTGTGCATGAGTGCCATGTAAATGAGCATGGGCAGGAAAGGCATGAGGAGGGGGGAGAGGAGTCTGAGAGGGAAAAAGAGACACACTATTAGAGGTAGGGAGACACCACAGGGAAATGGGGGGGTGGAGGGAGGACAGGCAGGGTGGAAGGGAGGAGCAGAGGAGGGTATCAGTCACATCAAGAGGAGAGTGTCTTTGTCCGTCTTTTCATTATCTCCCCTGTATCACTCCCTGGATCACCACAACCCCACCGCAACGCTAGAGGAATGTTCGAACCCCCCCATGCACAGAAACACACAAACACTCCCCGCTTTCTGACCATCCATCCCCTCCTCTTTACCAAGCAACACAGAGAGGGAGACAGTGAAGCAATTAAAGGATAAGAAACAGAACGAGCTGCCAGTTTTAGGGACGAGTTGGTTTGTTTTCCTGTTGGTGCAGAAAAGTGCATGTTTGCCTTTTTATAACATTTCTAGATTAATCTGTCTGCAGGTGACTATGTTTCAGCGCTGGAGGCCGGAAATCAGCTTTATTTAATCAATTTATTCAAAGTAAATTCAGATTGTCCTGAAAAATAAAACACTAATCTCTAGCATGATTCAGAAAGATGATCCAGAATCTTTAATGATGTTAAGCATTTAAGCTAAACTGATGAGGAGGTTTATTAGTGACTGTATGTGTTCGAGGTTGGTGGCTTTACATGCAGCTAAAAAGGACACATTTTATACACTTAGTCATGAATGCGTTGGCAAAGAAAGTGGAAAAAAAAATCATTAAAAAAAAAAAAATTTTCTCATACAAATTCAATTTATTTGAGCCAATTCAAATTAACCCTCATCTTGCCGTATTCCACAGTGAAAATGGACTTTATGCACAAGTCCACTAGAACTGAAACTATTAATCAGATTAATCAGTTATTGAAATAATAGTCAACTAATTTAGTAATCGATTAATCGATTACTAAATTAGTTGACTCTTTAGAGACTCTAAATTTCCCTTTAGCTGACAGAGCAACCCAGTTAGAGTAGTATTTATACCAAGATTATGAAAAAATATATAATTTTTAAGAATGTCTTAATCTCTCAATCTGCTCTTTCCAGAACTCCTCAAGTGGAAAAGTTTTAGTTCCACCTGGTTTGATTTTGTCAAATCTTCTCTAATTTGGCTATCCGATTTATCAAAAAAATTGACAGATTAATTGATTTGCAAAATAATTGTTAGTTGCAGCCCTAAACTCCACTACTTCCTGTTAAACAGCTCCTTTGTTCCCTGTCTTTCATTCCTGAATGAAGTGATTAATCCAGGTGTTGTCATGGTTACTGAGTTCGAGCCTGGATTAATCAGTTCATCCAGTAGAGAATGACAGGAAACAAAGCCCATTCTATCAAATTATTCAGATAAATACAAAAAGCAAAAAATTAGACTCAATAACAAATCCCTGGAGCTGTGACACCACGGTCCAGAAATCTGCAAAGTGTCTCTGCAAAACAATTAGGAATAGCACCAGATTAGGGTAAAAAAAATGAATAAAAATGATGAAGTTGTCCTAAACTAAATTTAAACCAATAATTCAGCTCTATTCAAAGCACCGGTTTCCTGATGTTGATCTGATTTTAATTTAGCTAAAATATGAGACGCATCAAACCACAATCTCTTTGCTGATCCCATTATAGCCTAAAAATAGTTTTAGCTTTTATGTTCTTAAAAAAAGGCAAGTTTATTCCTATAGCACAATTCAGAACAAGGACAACATGAATTAGATGATAAAATAGGAGAAAAATAAAAGCAGAATAAAACAAATGAAGATAAAAGCAGGTAGTAAAACAAATAAAACACTTGGACCACAACCTTAAAGTAATGATAAATGATTATTAAGAAGCAGAAAAGAAGTTAGATTTTTTCAGTCTATAACCTGCTGATCCCTGATTGGACCCAGTTAATGAAAAATGTGTCAGTTCTGATCACAGGACTCTGAAAAACGGATCTAAAATTATGTAAAATATATATTTTTTCTTTAAATAAGTGTTTTTATCCTTAATTTGAGCAGGTAAATAAGATGACCTTCCAACAGATGGAATATGTCTGTCTTAAAAATAATATGATGTGATATAATTGACTTGAAGAAAATTTGTTGTCTTTATCCTATTTTAAACATAAATCAGTTCATTGTAAAATTGCCTTACTTACAGCTCAACTCAAGGAAAAATACTTAGATTTTTGCAGGTGATGCTCTTAAGAAGTTGAACATGTGATAATGTCAGACAGGTTAAAATGTCCTGTTTGAGTTTCCCTCTCCGGTCTTGTTGCTGCCTCCTAACACGACATGGCGTGCTCTCCTTCCCAGGCGCCCAGCGAGTACGAGGCCAACCCCGAGATGCTCTTTTACCGCATCACGCACCTCAGCCGTGGCAAGCAGTACCACATCTGGTCTGCAGCGGTGACAACCGCTGGCCGAGGCAACATCAGCGCAAAGGTCACCGTGGAACCTGCTGGGAAAGGTGGGTCCTTCAGGCGAGCCTGCAGAGGAGACGTGTAAAGAGAGGCTGGGTAAAGGTTACGGGGGGGGAGGGGGTCACTTTCATCCCTCAGCCCTCTCCTCTCCGTCTACATTTCCTCTCTATTGATTGACAGCTGCTGTATTGATCGAGGCCTGGCTACATTGTGTTGTTAATTATGTGGTGATGAACAGGAGCTATCTAGTAAAATGACCCCCAGGGAGAGAGGAGGGCGGCAGAAACCAATCAAAGGGAGGATCTATGAAGGAAAAATAGACTAAAACCCTCGGCTACATCTTGCTTAGCCCCCCTCCTCCCCCCCAGCTGACGGCGCACACGCTGCGCTCCAGGTCAAACTGAGCTGTTCCATGTTGGTCTGTCCAGTTCCGGCCAAGATCCTTTCCTTCGGGGGGACGGTGACCACACCCTGGATGAAGGAAGTGCGTCTGCCCTGCAGCTCGGTAGGAGAACCCGCCCCCACCATCAAATGGACCAAAGACAGGTCAGAACCCCCCCCCAATTAAACGCAGCTTGGATCTTTGAGTTTGGAAAACAGAAAAGAACAACTTTGTTGGACTTTTTTCTCTCTCAGCGAGGACTCCACCCTTCCTGTGACAGCTGACAGCCAGCGGCAGATCCTGTCCAACGGGACGCTGGTGCTGCGGTCAGTCAAAGCAGAGGATTCTGGGTACTACACCTGCACGGCTACCAACACCTTGGGCTTTGACACCATCATTGTGAACCTGGTGGTTCAAGGTAAGAAGAGACAGCTTTCTTTGCCTCTGTGACGGCTCTGTGCTCTGAACGCTGACTCAGTGGGTTTCTGTTTGCCTGCTCAGTTCCTCCTGATCAGCCCCGTCTGACTGTCTCCACCACCTCCACCTCCTCCATCACCCTGGCTTGGATTCCTGGGGACAACGGAGGAAGTTCGATCAGAGGTAATCTGCCGCTCCACCTTTGCATTTCCTGTCACAGACATTGATCCTGACAGGATATTCCTGCATGTTTCACTCTCTAAAGTCAGTATTATACCAAACTTGTGTATGAAGAGTTTAAAGAAGTGAAATTCTGTCCCAGCAGCAACTATTTCAAGCTAACTGTCGCCATCTGGTGTGCAAACATTGTAACTTCAGGTAGTTCATGGAATGAACCTTCATTGACTTCAGGCTGCTCTGTGTGTCTGCAGGGTTTGTGCTGCAGTACTCTGTGGACAACACAGAGGAGTGGAGGGATGTGTTCATCAGCTCCAGCGAGCGTTCCTTTCGGTTGGATAATCTGCGCTGCGGAACGTGGTACAAAGTCAAGCTGGCTGCTAAGAACAGCGTCGGCTCGGGTCGCATCAGTGAGATCATCGAGGCCAAGACGCATGGAAGAGGTCAGAGCCGCTTGACAGATATCAGACCTTCACTTTGCTTTGATTCTCACAGATGATCACACGCCATGCAGAACTATAAGCCTAAAAATGTAGATGGTAGATTTATTTCATTTATTTAGGTTTAACAAATTCCATTTCTATAAACAATTTAAAACGTTCTTGTGCCAGTTAGTTAGTTTCTCCAGTTAGTTTCTCGTGCACACCAAATACTTTCTCATTTCAGACGGACCCCTTCCTCTTTTACCTTTAATCCATTTTCCAGACATTTTGTAAACATCAATCTATAACAGTTCAGTTGACCAATGGTTTGCTGTTGTGTTTAAATGAATGCTACAACATAATGAAGGTTTGTGTTTCCTTTGCGCCGAAATAGACCACAGGACTTCAGGATGCGTTTTAAGTGATGTCTAGACACAACATAATGGTGAAGTCTTGCAACTAATGCAGCAATGTCTTTGAATGGTAGCCAAAATTTAAAATATAGCCTAATTAGTTCATGTACATCCATTTTAATGAACATGGTTCTCCACAATACTCATGAAAGAGAGTAACTGGTGCGCAACTAGATATTTTCTCTAAGAAATTTTTTTTTTCTCTTGAGTGTCCCTTTAGACCAGGGATAACCAATTAAAAATCAGCTGGGTTCAAATAAAGAAAATCAAGAACCAGTAAAGGTCCGGAGACATTTTAATTATAATCTGTTACTTTAAACAGAATTAAACGCTGAAATAAAATGTGGTGTTTATGCATCCATGATAACATGGATGCATAAACACCTCATTTTATTTCATTTACAATTTACATTGAAAAAAAAGATATTTTTCCATATTAAAATCTTATTCCATATTAAAGTAGAGAACACCATTCATTCAGTTTGGTATAATTGACTATAAATTATGATAGATTCACATATTTTATGAAACACCTGAACTGACCGTTTGTTTCTTCCTTTTTTATGGCTTAATGAGAGCAGTGGGCTTTATGCTGCCCTGCAAGGCTTTAAACCTGGGTTTGATTGGCGACAAAGCCATTCTCAAGCACATATCAAGGTGCTAATTCGTGAGCCTGGCTCGATATTTATCTTTGATTATGGTCATAGTAGAGAAGCAGCAGCAGGTTGAGCCAAACATCCTCTAAATGTGCCGGGTCATCTTTAAGCACACCATTTCACTTTTCTGTCACCAGTTCACCGCAGTTCTTCCAGCAGTCCACACTTTCTCTGCTCTCTTTTCTCATCATCTTCTCCTTCTTTCCCATCACCAGCTTCCCCCATTTATTAAAAAAACATTTTTTGTTGTTCTTTCCTCGAATGAGAGAAGTCTAACATGCCGTCCCTGTCAATGTTAAGCTGACCTTTGAACTCTGGTTTCTATGGGATCTGCCTGTTTCTTATCAGCTGTTCTGTGTTGTGTGGGTCTGTCTTCAGAGCCTGTGTTTAACAAGGACCAGCCGCTGCTCACACACATCAACTCCACACACGCAGGACTGAACCTGCAGGGCTGGACCAGCGGCGGCTGCCCCATCACCGACCTCATGCTGGACTTCAGGCCCAAAGGCACGTGGGCCTGGCAGAGCCTCAAGGCCAACTCCACCAATCAGCTGTTCCTCAGTGAGCTGCGAGAGGCTACGTGGTACGAGCTCAAAATGAAGGCCTGCAACAGTGCTGGCTGTGGAAACCAGACCTCCCAGTTTGCTACCACCGACTACGACGGCAGTGAGTGCTTCTTTTTTTTTTTTTTTCCTTTGCTTCTTCCTTTTACTGCCTTTTTAACTCATCCTTGCTGCTGTGTCTCCTAAGGTACGATCCCGCCCATCAAATCGGCCCGTGGGGAAGGGGACGATGTGAAAAAACTCTTCTCCATTGGCTCTCCTGTAATTCTGGTCACTCTAGGCGTGGCTTTACTCTTCATCATCCGCAAGAAACGCAAGGAGAAGCGGCTTAAACGGCTCAGGGGTGAGAAATAAATGTGTCTGATAATTGCTGAAAGAACCAATTAAAGTGGAGGCTACCTGTAAGCTAATGACATTATTCTCTCCTTACAGATGCAAAGAGCCTGGCTGAAATGCTCATCAGGTGTGACTCAAATGTATTTTTCTTCTTTTGTTGTTTGTCAACCCCAAACTTTAAAATATATCATTAGGTTTGTATGTGATAAATCACTGACACTGCAAAAAATGATAACCAAGATAAGACAACCAAGTGATTTTTTTATTTAATTTGGGTTGTTGTAGGTTTTTTTTTTTGGAATTGTTAAGGAAGACAATTTACTAATGGAAAAGGAGAATTTGTTCTTTAAATAAGAAAAAAAACAAAACATTGTCAGGGTTGGTGGACCATAATGCAGAATAGAACAGGCAAACACCATGACTTTAAAAAAAATTATGAAGAACTAAAAATACAAAATCTTTAATCCTGAAAAAATGTAAGAACCAAAAAACTAGGAGATACTAGGCGGGAATAAACCTAAAGAATGACGAGGATCCAGCAAAGAGGAACTAAAAAGGAGGTGAATATATGGGAGAAACAAACAATGAATGGACTAATCAGCTAATAGGGAGCAGGTGTGGAGAGGAACAAATATAACCAGGATCTAACTGTAACTAGGAAATAAACTAAATTAAGCTAAAGAAAATAAAACTAAAGAACAAAAACTAGACCAAAGAATAAATAATACCAAACATGCTGAAAATAGATAACTGAAAGAAATAACTTTGGATAGTAAAACTAAGAATTCAAAAATAATAGAAATCTTGACAAACACAGAATAACATAAAATGAAGCAGAAATGAGAAGCTTAAACAAAATGAAAAAGTTCAGAAATGGCAGAATTATGAGCTCCATCTTAATTCAAGAGCATAGTATTTGATTATCTAATATAAAAGAAAAGAGCACTCATTCCATTGGCACATCAAGCCAATGGAATGAGTGCGATCATTTATTTATTTACCTGTTATTTATTTACTTACCTATTACAATCATATTTAAATTTGATATTTCATATCAAATTAGAGGCAAAGGCACTTAATTTAAGAAACATTCATTTACTTCCAGTTTTTGCAGTGTGACTCTGAAGTGGGAGGAGAATCATATCTGATGGCCGTTAATTCTGCATCAGATGGCATTTATGGAGAGAAAAGAGTCGTAAACATGGCCAGAAATGGGTTCTTTAGAGAACATTAGTAATAATTAGTAATTAAGAAACACAAGAGTCCCTTGTTCTCTCTGGAAGAGCTGCAGTACTGCAAAAACAATCTAGAAAAAACGTCAAAATTCTTAAATCATCTATAAATTATAATAGTTTAGTACTTTTAAATACATGTGCTTTTGAATACTTAAGTATCTTCAAAAGTGAGTAGTTCAATACTCTAACTTGAGTAGATTTTTGACTCAGTAACTTTTACTTGTAGTTGAGTAAGATTTGACAATCAGTATCAATACTTTTAGGCAAGTACCTAGTGGTGTCAAAAGTACACACATTTGTTACTTAAGCAGAAGTATAAATACTGCAGTTTAAAAACACTCAGGTAAAAGTTGAAGCATCAACCTGACCTCTTTACTCAAGTAAAAGTGAAAAAGTATGTGCTCCAAAAACTACTTAAAGGATAAAAGTATAAAGTCACCTTATTAAAAAAAAAAAAACAGCCAGACACCACCATATGAATTGAAAGCTCAATTTTTCGACTATTTCGAAATATTCTGAGATAGGGCCATGGCTGAGGGAGGTCTTGTTAGTCTCCATCTCCCGATACGCTCTCGCCTGTGTCCGACCTTTCAGACATTTCAACATCTTTTTCTGAATCCTACATTGTAGCATGGCATAGATAATTCACATTAACAGTTTGAAGAACAGCTGCTTGCTTCTGATGGTTTCCTTTAGCTAACCAATGAGTGTTTGCATTATATGACTCATCCAATTACACTAGTTTTCACTAGATGTGGATGGAGCCAATGATCTGCACTGGATGGCGCACAGGACATGAAATAAATATTTCTAAACATTAAACTGAAGCCAAGAGTAACGAGTAACGTTTGTTTTAAAATGTAAGGAATAAAAAATAAAGATACTTGTGTGAAAATGTAATGAGTAGAAGTCAGAAGTAGGAAGAAAAGTAAGTAATGGAGTAAATATAGATACCTAAAAGTGTACTTAAGTACAGTTAAGTACTTCCTCCACCACTGCTGTACACACATATATGTAAAAAAAAATATTTTTAAACAAAAAAGGAGTAGTCTGAAATAGGCCTGAATCAAATAATCAGATTAATCGATTATTGAAATAATTGTTAACTAATATAATAATCAATTAACCATTAACCGTAGTGTAGAGAATCTTCTTTTAAACATTGACCAGGAAGTACATAGTTTATACTCTTGCAGAAGTCCATTCCATAACTATATACCAATAACAGAGACATGTCTATATTTATCATTTGTTCTAACTTTAACATGCTCAACATCATCCAAACATCTTTGATCATAAGGACTCATGATTTAAAGAAAAACTTTTTTAAATGATGTTGTTTTTGACCCGATAAAGAAACTCTTGTACTTTAAGGTCTACATTGTCTTTCAGCTTTATGCTTTATTTAGAATAAACTAACCTGGTTCACAATATCGTAGCTTATTCACTAATCTGCTTATAAGCAGGAAGAGATGCTTTTATTTTTTCTTTCCTAAGAAGATGGGAAGAATACAGGTTTGATTTGTCAATTAATCAAATACTTTGTTTATAAAGATACATTTTTTTTTTCCATAATCTTCTTCTTGGGCTTTCATTCAGACTGACAACAGTTCATCATTTCCTGTTCTCCTCATAACTGATAAACTATCTTTCTGTGTGAGACCACCAGCTGCAAACATTTAGTCTGTTCTATTTTCAGGGTTTGTGGTGAAATCTTATTGTTTTACAGCATTTTTTAACAGCTTGCATTTTCCTTTAAATTCAGGTCACCTCTCAGAGGGATAATTGAAATAAAACCTATTTTTAGAAGTCATTTGTAAATCATATTACAAAATGTGAGTGATTAAAACAATGCATGCAATCATATTTGGTAGGAAAACATTTTTAAATAGTAGTATCAATAAATCCATGATGATATCATCCTTAGGCCAGATTAGTACTGTATATCAGTGTTTCTGTCAGACACTGTCTACATACGGTTCCACACTTGATGTTTATACTGACTTTGTGCTTCTAGCAAGAACAACCGCAGCATAGACACGCCTGTGAAGGGCCCTCCCCAGGGGCCGAGGCTCCACATCGACATCCCGCGAGTTCAGCTGCTCATCGAGGACAAGGAGGGAATCAAGCAGATAGGCAAGTGTCCACAGACTGACCTTAGCAGGTCTGAGTGCAGCGTGTCTGTCTGAGTGGTGGTTAATACGTGTGTCTGTGACAGGAGAGGACAAAGCCGCGGTGCCGGTGACGGACACAGAGTTCAGCCAGTCCGTCAACCCTCAGAACTTCTGCACCGGAGTGGCTCTGCACCACCAGGCCCTCATTCAGAACTCAGGGCCTCTGATCGACATGTCGGACATCCGTCCCGGCACCAGTGAGTCCGTTTTATGTTTTATGTTGTTAAAACCTGGCCTCCCGGGTCACTGACGACACGGCGAGCTGAACGTCCATCTCTATGTTGCTCAGACCCTGTGTCAAGGAAGAGCATCAAATCCGCCCACAGCTCCAGGAACAGATACTCCAGCCAGTGGACGCTGAGTCGACCCAGTCAGTCCACAGCTTCGGCTCGGACTCTGACATCAGACTGGCGGACGATGGGATCCCACGGCATCACCGCCACGGAGAGCGACAGCTACAGCGCCAGCCTCTCGCAGGACACGGGTAAATCTGCCAGAGCAGCCATGAAACACTAGATTAAACCCATTCTGAAAAAAACTAAATCCCTGAACTTTTTTTCCAGATAAAGGTCGGAACAGCATGGTGTCGACGGAGAGCGCGTCCTCCACCTACGAGGAGCTGGCCAGAGCGTACGAACACGCCAAGCTGGAGGAGCACCTGCAGCACGCCAAGTTCACCATCACAGAATGCTTCATCTCGGACAGCTCGTCTGACCAGATGACCACGGGTACCAATGACCCGGCAGACAGCATGACCTCCCTCAGCACGCCGTCTGAGCCGGGCATCTGCCGCTTCACCGCCTCACCGCCCAAACCGCAAGACTACGACCGCGGGAAAAACGTGGCGGTGCCCATTCCCCACCGGGCGAACAAAAGTGAGTGTTGGTAGATTTTGACATTATCGAGACGTTTAAGTCGACAGCAGTTCCTCTCTGCTCTAAGCCAGCAACGTTATATATTGTTCTGTGTTATGATCAGCAGAGAGCAGAAAATCACAAAAAGTCCGACAGAACTGGAACAGAAGATTTAAATGAAGCTGTTTGCCAAAATGGAATAAAATGACTTATGTTTAGAATTAGAAAAATACATAAGGAGAAATCTTTATGAGGATACACATAGTGACACAAAATAGGAATTTATAGAATCTATCTAATACAAATCTAGATGAACGAATAACTATTGGTCACAAAAGTATCAACCCTATTGAAACGCTACATTTCCACATACAGAACAGCAGTAATATAGCAGCACAATCGAGTTCAATAGTCCAGATTATTCTTACCAGAAGTGATCATTTACTAACAGCCTTTAAATGGTAAGAAAACACTTTCTTCTATAATCAGATTTCTTTTTCTTTCATTTCTTCTGCTAGTCTTGCCCCACAACCCCATCTGGTTTATAGATATTGAACCCCACCTCCAGGTTATTACTGGATCTGGGCCTGCTTAGGGCAAAATATTCACCAAAAGAAACAAAACTTTCCAGTAAATTTGACCTTCCAAGTTTCTTCTGGAAGAGGCCGGAAAAAAAAATAAAAAGAGGAAAATCCTGACGCAGTCCGGGAGAAACTTCCAACCCTGATGTGGAGCTCCAGTTTCTTCTTTATTTGGCTCCCAAGGAAAAATCAGCAACCAGGTCTCTAAACATGGCTGATTTTTAGATGGTCTGGTTTTTTTCTTAAACCTTTACGATCCTGCGTATTTTTGTTGTATATATGCATGATAATGCCTGGCTTCAAGAAAAATTAAAGCCAGTAAATTATGTTAAAATGTAATGATGTAAAATATCCACAATTTTGTGCTGCATCTAGATCGTTTATATCAGGTTGGAGGGAAGGCAAAGGAGATGTCAGCTTGGTTTACACGGCAAAAACGGATCTAAAAAAGAAGCTTAAAAACGTCTTGAAATCAGTGCAATTGCTGTTAATTTGATCAGGTAAATAAGATGTTTTTTCAATGGAATGAGCATATTTAACCTTAAAATAAGAAGAACTTGAATTAGATAATGTAGGGGATTTTTCTTATTTCTTATCATCAAACTCCATAAGTTGCCTTACTTATTTGCTCAATACAAGATAAATTACATTTATTTCAAGAATAAATGGCTTATATTTAATTTTTTCAGTCCAGACTCCTCACAAAATAAAAATCACAATTCCCTACAAACTGATGCATTCTGTCCTGATTGATATTTTCATTTATTCAACAGGTGAATTCTGCAATCTACCCCTTTACATGAAGTCGGACCCATTCTTCCGGAAGCAAGGGGACTCCCTGCATGACCCATGTCCAGCTGTGCCACCGCGGGAAGCCTCGATTCGCAGCCTGACGCAGCGGGCGTACCACACCCAGGGCCGCCACAAGACTCTGGACTCGGCCAAGCAGCAGGCGCTGACGCTGGGTCACTCCGGCCTGGGCAGCCTGGGGGCCAGCTCGGGCACCTCCACCTTGCCCCAGAGAACTCTCACCATGCCCAGCTCCGGCAACGCGGCGACGGCCTCCACGTCCAGCACCAGCAGCAACCCGGCCGGCAGCAACAAGGTGGGCGGCTCCAGAGACTCGCTGCTGGAGAGCAGCTCCTCAGCCCTGGGGAGGCTGCAGAAACAGAGCGTGGGGGCCTATTCCAAGTCCTACACGCTGGTGTAGTCCATTCTGCTGCACAGACTTGCACTGCTGCCCCGTTCCTCAGCCGGCGCCACCCTGGCTCTCATCAGTCTGGGCCAGAACAGGCTTTCTGAAAGCCGAGCCAACGGTGAGCCGACCAGCTTCCTGTCTACTTTTCCTCCAGAGGGGGCGGAGGTGTCCCGCCCCTCTAGACAGAGACCCAGCTAACCCTTCTCTTCATGTTTAAAATGGAACTCAATACGAGAACTACTAACTCCGACTAACAGTTCCAGCCGGCTGGTGCTCAGCTCCACTCAGTTCCTGCAGGAGACACGCAGCCAATCACAGAACGGGATTCCTGCTAACGTGACTCTAACTGAAGAGCTGATGGTTCCCAGTTCATGACAACAAAGACTATAGCAGCCATTACGAAGCTGTGCGACCATCCACACACACACACACACACACACACACACACACACACACACACACAATGTCCTTCATAGTTTTTGATTTATTTTGTATTTTTGGTCCATTTGCAGGACTTCAGTTCAGTCCCCGGTTTTCTCTCACTCTCTCGGTGTCTCTCCCCAACAAGAATAGGCAGATTTTCCCCCTTTTTGATTATGATCCCCCCAAAAATGAAGGATTCAGGTTCACCTCCTGGATTAGTATTCTCCACTCATCTCTCTGCAGCTGAACCATCTCAACTCTTCAACCCCAATGAAGCAGCTAGAATTTCTCACCTTGCAAATAGAGAATATTTGGTATTATAAAGAATTTTACATATATATTTCTATGTAGGTATATTATTGACATTTAAGGGAAATGATGACAAAGTATAAACTGTATATGCTACACCGAAGTGATAGTTCTATACAGCAGTTTGTTAGCGGCAAATTTTAAGAAAGGAGACAATCGCTCAATCATTGAAGTTAGAAGTAGAGAAAATTTAAGAAAAGTCGGACTTAAGAGAGAAAATGTTTAGTATATATATGTGAGATATTCTGTATGTTAGTGCTTGTTTGCGGGCTAACAGAAAGCGGGTTGGGAAGATGTGTTTGTGTGTTTCTGGGGGGGAAACGATCACTATGCCGATACACTATAACGATATGATAATGAAATCTTCTTACCCGGCATGTCGGCCTGTGAGTCTGTGGTGGACAAGGTGTGCAAACGTCCTGCTAATACATTAAATGTACCTTAAATACAAAAAGTCGAGCAACACAAAGGAAAAAAAATGCTGAAATCTTATAAATAGAAGAGAGCAGCAAAATGCAAATGTGCTGCAAATACATAAACCTGCCGCAACACATAAACGGTGCTGATTCAAAGGGTAAATGGGGAAAAAAAGAACAGCTGCAAGTAAAGACAGAGAGAAACAGAATGGCAATGGTTTGGTCTATAAGCCGTTTTATTTTTTTCTATTTTTGCTGACCTCACAGTTACGTCTGATAGCTGGAGGCAAAGAAAAAAAAGCAACTGTAGGAAATCTTTGTAAACCAGCATGGGATTGGTAGGGATTAGCCATGAAAATCCAGATTTGATTTTGACTCCAATTAATTAACATATTGAAGCTGTTCGTGGAATCTGTCTGCTTCCAGCAAAGCTCCGCCCACAGGAATACGTCAAAGTGGGTGTGACATTTAAAGGACCTGACCCACGTTGACCAGGTCCTTTAAAGAAGGCTGGAAGTGAGCGGCTGGGAATGGGGACGTCCTACCGTCACCCCAGCGTTACTTTGGTCTTCTAACCGTGCCGATGGAACCCAAAGCGTTTCTGTTTCTACTGTCCTTTATCTTGATATATTAAAAACAAAAAGAAGGTGCCACAGCCGCTATGAGAGAATTAACAGGACAGATCAAAAATCAGACAGGCCTGTTTGGCTTCTATGCAGCTTTCCTTTGCATCTGTTCTGTCGGTTTTTGTTTGCAGCTTTTGTATGCATTTGCAGCACATTTGCACCCCTGGGCCACCATTAGATTCAGAAATTATAGTAAGGTTACGCCTCTCTTCTGTTACCACAAACTTCGACATTAAGTCAAAACGGACCCAAAGTAGCTTAGAAAAGGGAAGCAAGTCAAAGGTTTACAAAACCAAACCTAAAAATGCGTAACAACCTGGGAAATCTTTCAAAAGACCCAGGTTCTCCGTCATCGTGTCTCTATCTCAGCGGATGAAACACCTTCTTGCTGTTTGCTGCAAATCGGTCCCAGACGCGGGCTGGTGTGAGGGGCCCCGGGTCTGCGGGGGCCGATTGCCAATCATCACAGATGTAGTCCTTTGCTTCTCAGCCAAATAAATAAGCTGAAATGAATGCCAGTCATAATGTGAATGAAATATTAATAATATTAATGTCAAGAGATGTTCTATGTCAGGGAGTTCAATTTTGAAGTTTATATGATGTTCATTGAATTGATATCCTCGTTGTTGTCCTGTCTGAAAACTGTAAATGTCCCTCCTTTTTTTTTTTTTTTTTTACCCCCTCCCCCCCTTTTTTACACCATTGTACATGAAAACAGGAACCTATTGGGATGCCTTTTTGTCAAGCATTCCAACAGTAGTGTTTCCTGTTTACTATTTATTTCTCCATTTGCTGTTTGTTCGTCTGCTCTTTTCTTTTTTGAGGGGGTGGGGGGGGTTCTGTTGGTTTTTATTGGTCTCCAGTTCTGTCAGTTTGTTTCCAGAGGTCCAGCAGTACCAGGCCTGTGGTTTTACACCGGTTCAGCCTATTGAAATCAGGGACTGTGGCTCTTTTGGTCCAAACTGATATCATGTTGTGTAAATACTGGACCAGAGCCGTTCTGTAGAACTGCTTCGTTTCAGCTCTCGCCTTTGACCCCCCACCCCGACCCACCGTGATGAACGGAGGAATATGCCACCACCTCCCCAACCCACCTGGATCATCATCTCTACCTTTTGTCGGTGTTGTTTTTAAGTCCAGTCTTGTACATCACACACAGTTTTGTATGAAGAGCTATTTTCTTCAAAATAAATCAGGGGACACATCAAGGTGGAAAGTCCCTCTTTCAAAACTGAAATAACATCACAATTTTTTTTTTTCTTAAAAAAAAATGGACAAATACGCCCCCTCCCCCCCATATGTTTTTGATACTAATTTGTTAATTTCTTGTCTTTTTATTTAAAAAAAAAATCAGATTTCGATGTTGTCATTTGTTCTATTTACTTTTTTATTGTTTTCTATTTTGTTCAACCCTTGAAAAAGTCATTGCATGCTTGCTAAAAGGGAAAAAAATGATGGAAAAATGTTTGAAAAAAAAAAATTGCTGAGGATATCCCAAACATTTCTTTTAAGTTGCTTGTTACAGCAATTGCTTGTGTTCAAAGGTACATTTTCTATGAAAAAGCAAAAACTAAAAAGATCATTCTAACACCTTGTGCAATAAAGCTATCTTTCATACGCCGTGCTTCCTGTCATTTCCACCACAGAAAAAGAACCAGCGTTTCATAAGAGCAACGTTTTAGGATCAAAATCAGAAGAATAAAAATCTATCTATGTATATTGAATTGAAAAAATACTTTATTAATCCCACAGGGAAATGAAATGATTCAGTAACTCAGTTTTAGTTAACCAGATGTAGGCTGAAAGGATCCTCATGGGACTGAACAGCGATGTACTCTGATGATGTTTATGGAGGATAGATTTACATAAAATTTGAGCAAAAATACTGTAATATTGCGGTAATGTTTACTTGAACCCAAATATCTTTTAGAAATATAAACAAAAGGTTTATTTCTCTTTTTAAATATGTCAGAGAGCCCAATCATGTGACAATCATGACCCCATTGGGGAAGCTATTGTGCTTCTACAAATATATAAGTCATTTTAATGAATATTAATACACTAAGGGATATTTTGTGATAAGTCTGGTGTCCATTTAACATCTCTTAAGGTGTATTTCAGCTGGCAGGATTTCCTACATATACTCTGGGGGTCCCCTCCTGAACCCCAGTAAGCTAGAAGACAGGAAAAGGACAAATATTCAAGTAAAATAGTTGAATAAGGTAATAATTTAGAAAAATAGTACGATGAAAAACAAGTTTTGTTGGTAAATAAATTGCTGTTACAACTGTCACCATATGTTGTTCATGTTAATATTAATTAGTAGATTGTTATATTAGCATCTGAATGCTCCATTCTGATTCTTGATATCAGTAAAAATGAATTTAATTAGATGAGTTTAATCCACAGCTGTTTGAATCTGCCAAAACTATTCGGATTATGGAGACCTCTTACCGCAACAAGGTTTAGTAGCACCAGGTTTCAATTTTCTACTTTTAAAATGTTTTCTCTCATAGATTCCAAGATGAAAGACTTGTTTTTAAGTCTTAATTAATTTAAGTCTTAGTTTCATATTAATCAAAGTAATGAAATGCATAGGAGTTTTTTTTTTTTTCATTTACTATCTAAAAGCTATGAAAACCAAAAAGAATGTTATGCAAACAACTTAACTCTGCAACACCCATTTATACTTGCATTTTACATTTTTTTTCCCTTTTTAAGCTTAGTTTCATAATTTGTATATCTTGGTGTTTAGTTTTGGTATTTTTCTTTTGTAATTCTTAAGTTCTATAATTTTAATTAGTTTTATTCTTACAAGAATGCTGCACTTTTAAAGGAAGCGAATTTTAAATAAAGCCAAAAATTTTTTTTTTTAAAGGTATAACGCCCCCTGCTGTTTGTGCTGCCCTCTAGTGGCAGCTCTAGTAAAGCAGCAAATTAAATCCCCCTCACAGCTTTGGACCATAACATAACGGATAACCAGTAGAACCCAGTGTAAAAACCAAGCAAATCAAAACGTTAATTTAACAAAAAAAAAAACTCCTCATTTAGGTAAAAAAAAAAAATATTAAACTATGAGCCACCAAGCTGGAGGAGTTTTGTTCTTCTTAGATTCGTAGGTCTGTTAGAAAGAGACACGCCCTCATCTTTTTCTGCTCTTCTTCTGAGCCGCCACAAGGTGGCGCATTGACCCTTTCCAAACCCGAGCCGCCCGGACAGGCGGAAGGATACAGCAGCGAACAGGTGCCTCCTAAAGGGGTGCAGCCGGTCATGACGGATATGCAGTGAATAATAGATGTTCCTCAGAGTCTCATACACCGATGCATTTACACTAAAGCTCCTGCTCAGCAGCACTTCACCTACTGACGAAGAAAAACATTTACTGACGATTAGGTTTTTTTTTTCTACAGCTTTAAAAATAAAATGCTTATTGCCATGGAAACATATTCTTATCTCTTGAATGTTTTCAACGCATGACAAATCATAACCAAGAACTTCTAATGCTATTTAATATGATACGCCAACACAAAGTACTGAATAATACTACATTAAATTGGTCTCACATAATGTAAAAAAATCTGGGTGTTATTTTTGTTCAGGCCTTGCCATTCAAATCTCACATGAAAGGTTTGTAACATTTCCATGTCAGAAATATTGCAAAGATTAGAAATATCCTGTCCAGGTGTGATGCTGAGAAACTAGTCCACGCATTTGTTACTTCAAGGCTGGACTATTGTAATTCTTTATTATCAGGAAGTCCACAAACTGTAGTTAAAAGCCTTCAGCTGATCCCTTCCCTTCCTGATGAATGGTTCTGGTTGGAGTGCTGATATACCGGTAGGTGTTGGTGTTTGGAGTGACTTTGCGGGGTTTTTTTGGATCTAATTTTAAAACTTGTATTGATTTTAGTTAAAATACAAAACAATAAGAAGTTAATAGGACAAAATAAATTTTTTACGTTTTATTTCTTCAAACCCTATTTTTGCAAAAGATCTGATGAATTTCCAGCTGTGAAATTTAATCTAAAAAAGCCATTTTGACAAAATAAAATGTTAAGAACTTTAAAAACAAAATCAAAAGATTAAACTAATAATAATAAAAAAAAAAAAAAGTAATTTGAAACAATTAGCAAAAGCAGTTACTCTGAAACTTTTTTTATGATTGAGTTTTCAAAGTTTAATTTCTGGATTTATTTTTATTTTTTTTCTAATTTCCATTTAGAGAACTAGGTATAAGTAGGTTATAGAAAACCTTAAAGATTCACATGTAAAATTTAACAAAAGCCATTTAGGCCAGAAACTCAACCTGGTGAAGGTTTTCACACTAGTTAAAACCTAACTTGACAAATTGCTGTGTGGATGAAAACCAGCAGTGATGGGGAGGCTTTTCCTGATGCTGGTCAGAGGAAAGTTGGATTAAAGATAAAGGAAGAAAATTAGTTAAAACGTGCAAACCCAGGATGTGTTTTACCTTCCTGCAGGATGGAGATAAACCCATTTTTCTGAGTGGACACTTTTCTTATTTTAATGCAGAAATAGAGGATATGCAGACTTTGTTTGGCTGGAGGAGGATTACATTCTTAATTGGATGTATGATGGGTAATTTTGGCATTTGCTTCTTTAATTGTTAATGCTTGGGATAGGACAGCTTTGCTGTCTTTTTAAGTATAAACATTCAAAGATGAAATCTGTGTTTTGTTTTTGAAATTTTGTTTTGTATATGGTAAGTGCGGGCTGGGTCTTTCCACTGAACTTAGCGCGCATGTTTTTCAAACGTGGTTCGACCCGCTAACAATCAGCATGGTTTTCTTCCCATTTGCTAAAAAAGCTGATCTAACCCCTCACTGGCAGCTAACCCCGCCGCTGCGTGTCTGGTGACATCATCACGCTAGCACTGATGATGTCACCAGTGCAACAGACATCAGGAAAGTAAACAATGGAGAGCAACATGGAAGGAAGCCAGGGCGTAGTCAGTGTGCTTTATTGTTTCACTCTATTATCTATCTGAATCCCTCTCCCCAGAGCTGCTCCATGTTTATCGAATGTAAACGTGTTTCTGCTTGTTAGATCAAAAGCGACTGGCGCAGTGTGTTGACGACTGTACGTTGCCTTCAATGGTATCATGTAATTTAGCATTTCAACCTGGCTGTGGCGTTACCACATCATGCCGATCAGAGCCAAGGTGATTTTAACGCAGGTCACTTGCAGACTCGTTTCAGTGAGCTGCCACACTAACCCAACGTGATGATGTCACCAGACAGGCAGCCATGGAGGGTCAGGGGCCACGCAGCTGCCAGCGAGGGGTTAGACCAGCTTTTTTAGCCAATGGGAAGGGAGCCAAAGGCAGATAGTTAGCGGGTCGACCATGTTTGAAAAACACACATTAACCCAATATTTTCAGTGGGAAAGACGCTTAATTCTATCACATCAAAATCAACAAAGGCACTTGAAATCTTTTACAAACTATCATTTGTTTGGCAACTTCTAAGGATCTTTGACCGGATCAGATATCTTGCCGTTTTTTTTGCAGTATTACATTTTGACAATCAAATGAAAAGACGAAGAGCTTCGAAGGAAGTTTTACAAGATTTAATTTATTAACTATTGTACAGTTTCACATAAGGCCTTCATTTTTAAACGTCCTGCCGGTGCACACACTACATGAACCTTTGCAGCTAAACCAGTCTCATTCTCACGCTTACTTCATGTTTTAAAACCAGGAAGAGGAAATCCATCCTCCTTCCTTCATGTGTTTTTTTTATTTTTATTTTTTTCAAGTCATGCACTAATTTCAAGTGGCCTTTTAAACCATTCACAAAAATTGTAAAAAGGAAACTCCAATAATTGAAATACGCACTAGAAATGTTTTCTACCATCAACTAAAGGGCGACGTGCACCCCTCCCCTCCCTCCCCCCCGACATACAAATAAACAACCCTAACGGAAACGAGGTGTGCACCCACTTCATCCTTCCAACGGTACATCTGATGGGGAATTTTTTTTTTCCATTATTTTTTTGTTTTCTTGCTAAAAGCCGAATGATGCAGAGATGCTTTTATTTATACACTCCCAGGAACCAGAAAGGCCAAGCTTCAGGATCAGTCTGAGGAAAACACTTCATTTTTTTTCTTCTTTTTCTCTGTTCCAGTCCAATAAAAACGAAAAATTCCCAACAGTACCAGTAAAACGGACGGACAATCCTCCGCCATCCGAAGGGGTTTTCTTTACAGAACCTTCATTTGCAAAGCTGCCGCTGAGCGAACGTTTCCGGAAGCGCTCCCCACCAGTCCGATCCGGTTCTGAATCAGCAGAATCAACATCAACCCACCCCAGTTAAAGGCTCTTAAACGAATGCGAAGAGCTACGGCTAGCAATGTACTGCGCTTAAAGCATTTTGGTTTCCATGGATACCAGATGATGATGATGTGAGACATTCAACATGGTGACGGTCCTTCAGCAGTCTGATAAATCAGAATCCAAGAGGAGAGAAAGATGAACGATGAACTTCAAAGAGATTCAGACTTTCCCATTTGAGGGGGGGGGGGATTACTTGCCTTTTTGCCCCCTTTTTTCGAACAAAAACAACACCCCCTCCCCTCTCCAAAGCCACTACATAAGAAAGAAAAAGAAACAGACGCATCATCATCATGAACCCCCCCACCCACCCTTCCCTCCGTGGCATTTCTTCATTTTTTATGCTACACTATTAAAAAGTGCTTCAGAAAAGGTTGAACCAAAAACAAACCGGATGTAAACAAGGTTTGATCTGCCGGAGCTGCTTGAGGCCAACGGGTCCGTGTGAAACTAGAGATAAAGGAAACAGTGATCATTAAAGTGCATCCCTGGACGTAACCCCCCCCATTCCTCTGCCTGCCCCCCCCAAACAAGTATGAGAAAGGCTGAAACAGAATAAGGCTGAGAAGGATCCTCTGCTTCAGAGGCGCCGGCTCCTTATATCCAGTGGCGGTACTCTTAAAAAAAAAAAAAAAAAAAAAAGAAGAATTTTACACGTAATAAAACCATCATGGCGGCCACCAGTCACCCGCCCCGCCCGGTATCAGATAATTGAAGCATGCCACGTTTCACACAACTGCCCCCCCCCATCTTCATGTGTTTCATGTTTTTGTTTTTTTTTTAATCTCTGGCGTTCGAATGCGTCTCGGCATTCAGGTCCAGCATTGGCGAGGGCGCACGGCCGTGGCGTCTCTCTCACAGTGTCTCTTGCTCGGCAGGGGGGTGGTGGGCGTGGGGGTGCTGGTGAAGCGGGGGCAGCAGGGACTGCAGGGGCGACTGCGGGGTGGTGGGCGGAGACTGCTGTTGCAGGGGGCTAAAATGTGCGGCGGTGTGTGGGGGGGAGGAGCGGTAGCAGGAGTAGGCGGAGCTCCCGCCCAGTGTGGTGGTGGGCGAGGCGGGGAGGCCGCCCAGGCCTGTCGGGGAGTCGATGAGGGGCTGGTTGTAGAAGAAGAACGCGCACTGGTGGATGAAGGTCTCGATGATTGTCTGGTAGGTGCGCGTGGCGGTCAGGGCGTCCATGGTGGTGAAGTCAGGCCTCATGAGGGTGGGCCAGAAACAGATGGACAGGTTATCGCTGGTCATCAAGTTCACCCGGCTCAGCTGGCTCACCCTGAGAACAAAAACACACACAGGGCCTCACAACAGCGCTCACACCCCTCCGTCCTCCTCAGGGTCTGAATTCCTGCCGCGGTTTCTATGACGGTTCTCATGGAGGCTCACCTGTTCAAGTGGCTCACTACGTATCTGAAGACATCGTAGTTTTCTCTGGGGAACTTCCTCAGGACGTCCTTCATGGCGTACAGCCTCTGCTCCCTGTCCATGATTTCTGCAAACAGAATCCAACCAATCAGAATTCAGCTCAGATCACGGAGGGACATTTTTTCTATTGTTTCAAGCAAAAAAAGACCAAAAAATGAAAATTATTATAAACATTTTAATAATAAAAAAGTTATCTGGGGAGCAAATATACGCTCACTCAGATTTTCTTCTAAAAAAAAATGCTTAAAAAAAAAAATATGATTTTTCTATAAAATGTGTTCTTTGCTTTTAACGATACTGATAAAAAAAACCCTCCATACTGGATGACCAGAGAAAGCTTTCTTCTCAGACACTGAAGAAAAACATGAGAGCTCCCTCCGCCTCTTCCCTCCTGATGAAACCAGCCACCCCTCCCAGCGCAGCAGGGTTTGCTTACTGAAAGCGTCCAATAGCTCCACCTGCAGAGCACAAGGCACCAGGGGCTCAGGCAGCTCTGAGAAGAAGCTCTTGAGAGCTCCAGCCACAGTGTTTATGGCGAAGTCCTTCTCCACCAGGTCCAATCCATGGTCTGCATGGAGAACACAACAAAAAGGCTCAGGATGAGAAAAGGACAACTTCCCATTGGCTGACGATCCCATCTTTGTGTTTACAGAGAGAGGAGATGGCAGATCCCACTCACCCTGCTCAAACTGCTTCTGCATGCTCTCCATCTCCGACTTGTTGCCGCTCACACGGTACAAACCTTCAGTGTTCAGGCCTGAACAGAACATAAACACTTTATTAGCCCTCCGAAGCACAACATGACTTAACATCAGGGGAGAAACAATCAGATTAATTGATAACTTAAATAATTACGATTAATATCATCCATCGATTCAAACCTAAAAGGAAAAGTTACCGATATCATCTGACATTAAACGCCTATATCCTTATATTCCTCTTTAAACGTAAGCTTTTAAAAAAGGCCAGGCCTGAAACCAACCCTGCTTAGTTTGGCTAAATCTCCCCAACCCAAAGACTGCCGAGCGAGTTCAGTGAAATTATAGAACGTTTCCCCTCGGTGCTGATCGGGTCTCTGTTTACAATAAATATTGATATTGCTTTATTGCCCAACTAACCATAATTTAAGAGGACATGATCATGTTGCAGAGATCTGCTGTTGGAAAAGATGCTCAGATCGTTTGCACTTTTCATTCTGGATTTCATCAAAGTCCAAGCACCCAATCAAAGTTAAACGGAGCTTTTCCATCACTGTTTAAGCTCTCTGTGTCATTCTGCAGGCCGTCCATAGTAAATGTTTCCAGGCTGATGCCTGACGTGCACCATGAAGGGGCAAACCAGTAGAATCTCACATTCTTAAATGAAAATGGCTACTTGCTATGCCTTTAGTTTGAC